CCTATCTGCTAGAGATGTGGGGAGAGTGGGTTCTAGCTTCTTCCTCTGGGAGACAGAACTCAGTGGTGGGCAGTTCAAGCAGCTGAAATATGTTCAAATAAAGCTGGGTGGCCTCAAACATGACCCATGGGCATCTACTGACATAGGAGCTTTGGGAATGGGGCCAGTGACCTCCATTCTAGACAGGCACGCCTGGTGATTCTTAGCCACACCACCAAAATTAGCAAACTGCTTTGTTAGGAGACCAGATAGGCAGGAAAAATGGAGATATAGCAGAGAAAACTCTAAGCCAGAACTGACTGGCTTTCAGCTCTGACACTGCCAGTCAGTTCTAGGTGACAGTGATGCTCAGGGTGTAGATACAGAGCTGGGTGCACAAGAATGATGTACAGGAAGGAGAGGGCACCTGTCAGTGATCGTGGCTGGATGTTGGAAGGTGGTGTGGCTAAAAGTCATAAACTTCAAAGGAGGTAAATTTATGAAAGGAGGAAGTAAATGATTTTTTTGTAAGGTGTAGGTTTGAGTCTGCAGAACACCTTCTTTTATGCCTGGCTCCAAGATTATAGATCTAGGAAAGTGAGTGCTTTGCAGAGTTTGAAAAGACTACTGGTTCACTTAAGATGAGGAGCGCGGGGGTGGTATCTAGAAAAAACATTGAGGTACAGTGTATGGAAATTTCTTGGCACTCGAAGGGTTCCAGAAAACACTATGAAAAGGCAGGAGGGGTATATGACGTACCATCTTTTCTTGAGAAGATACATCATTAATTTTATAATGGCTTTTTGGGAACAAGAAAGAAGCAGTACGTTAAATGCACACATTGTAGGGTATGTTCCTATGCAGAATGCTAAAACGTGAATGAATGTGTCTCAGAATTGACGAAATAGAATAATAGAGGTTGTGGATTATGACTTAAAGGAGGTTGTCAGCTTATCAATAGTCAGAGACTAGGAGAACAATTTGGAAGAATGTGATCAAGGATATGAGGCCTCCAGGGGAGGACCAAAAGTTCACTGGGTGGATTACAAGGCAAAACTGGGAACAAATAGCAAAGACTGTTAATTAGAGGTTCCAGTTAGTCATTCAGAGTCATTCAGCAAGAGAGACACGTAAGCAAGGGAGGAAAACGGGTGTTAAGAACCATATATTGTGGCCAAGATTAGACAAGAACTTGGGCTGTCCAGGAGGTGTTATTTTGGGTCATCTACATGTGGGACACCTTTTGTACAAATGTCTTAAAGGCGTATTTTAGCACGTGGTGGAGCCAAGGAGTGGAAATGCAGGTCGGAAGGAAGCAGAGAGAGATGAGAAGCAGAGAGAGATGAGACAGGATTGGACATTGCCAGTGTTGCCGTTCCTGCTCCTTCATTCATCATCCATCCTGTGTCCAGGCATTGCACTTGGCACTGGGGATGTGTGACTGAAACCCGCCCTGTCTGTGTTTGGAATACTCAGATTTGGTCACTAAGAATAGTTGAGTAAGAAATCATTTGTATAAGCAAAGGTGACAGAATTCCAGAAGTCGAGAAGCTGAAGTAAAGCATTGCAGATGGGCATTTTCTAGCGTTGGCTTCAGAGGGGGCAGTGGGTGACTCATGTAACCGTTTGGCCTCAGAGTCCAGTGGGTGGGGGAGGGAATGTGCCATCTTATGGTAAAAATCGTTTTCTGACTCTGGAGTGGAATTCAGCTGAAGGGATATTTCTAGAGGAAATGCAAGTCTTTCTCTGACACTGTCATCAGATCTTTGGGCTTTGTACATTTTAATTCCTCAGGGTAAAACAGTAAAAAAAAGCCAAAAGTATCCAGAATTAGGCTTTAGCTACCAAAAAATAGAAGTGGACCCCAAACTGAGTGAAGAAGTCATTTAAAGCTGTTGATTTGTGGAAAAAAACAACTCCCCTCTGGCTAGAGATAATATGCCTTAAATTTTACTTGAAATGTAAGAAAAAAGTAAATATAGGTAATTCACATGCATCGAGTATTTATTTTAAAAGTTGTATTTTAATAGAAAAAAAAAATCCCAAGTCATATCCTGTGACACATTATAATCCACTACCCCGAGCCTGTGGTTTGGGCCCGTGCATACCTAACAGACCCCAGGCCCATGTAGGTTCTGCTTCCCAAAGTGGGAGGCATTGTTGCATGTCTTGCAAATTCAGTATTAGGAAATTATAGTAAATGTCCCACATAACCAATAGTGCAACTAAGTTATTCCACACATATCAGATATAGTTTGGCACCCAGGCTTTCTTGCCGAGACTGACGAGTAGCTTATAGTTGACCCTCTGAGTGGCAGCCTCCCTCTCTTCAGGCACCCGGCTCTCCTACTCTTTCCTTTCTAACCACAGTCCCACCTTCCAAATAGTACAAGTCAGGATTTGATAAATGACGTTATTTACATTTGTGTGCTGATTGATTACACTGCTGGGTAAATGGATTTCAGCCAATATGTTTATTTTTCGACCTTTTAATCTCTGATTGGGGAAAGAGAGCACATGTTCTCACTGGGGGAAAAAAAAAATCTCAGATTTAGTGCAGGCAAAGAGTGAAGACTGGGAGGTCTCTGCAGATCTCTGGGTCCTTTCTCTTCAGTTGCCCTTGAAATCTTAGCCAGCTAAATAAAGGGGCTGGCCTGGCTGACTGCTAACCTCTGTATGAGTCAGGACCGCTGTATCCTCTCCTGGTTTTAGAGCACTGGAGTTCTTTCTTGAGTGAAACCTGAAGGGGACTCCCCGTATGTAAAAGAGATGAAAGTAGCCTTAGTGGGTACAGTGGGGGGGACCCCAAGTCCTCCCTCTCCTGACCACAGGCTCACCTTTAGAGATTCTTTCTGCTGAGCACAGTTTGGAAACCACGTCACCACTAGTTCATCTGCTTAGTGCCTCTTCCTGGCCACTCTATAAGAAGCCCTTTTCCCCTCCCTTCTTATGCACAGAGTCTTCTCCCTACCGCCACTCCTCCCTACCCTCCCCCCCCACTTGTGTTTATTCCTCCTCCTCTCTCTCTGATCATACTTTTACTGTTCCCAGTGGTGGCAATGCCTGTCTCCACCCCCCTCAACTCCCCCCCCGCCCCCCAAAATAGTGATGTTGCTCTTACCCCTGGCATGACATCCTCATGCTGCTGGGTCATCTTTAGCCTTCAGCCAGCAAGTTATTAGGATTTCAGAGCAAAGAGCAATAAGCACCTAGGAAAGCTGCTAAGAGACTCTGAGGAATGTGTGTGTGTGGGGGGGGCAGTCAGGAGGGAGGTGAACTTCGGGGCTCAGGGATAGTAAGTGATGGACACCAGAGGCCCCGTCCGTTGAGGAGAAAGCTATAAGGCCCACCTCTTAATTTGCCAGCACACGTGTGTTGGAGATGAAAATTAAACTGCAAATGATGCTGGAGAAAACTGCTGACAGTAATGATGATTACAGCTGTTATAGCAGTAAAGCTGGAAAAAAGCAAAAAAAATTGGTTTAACAGTGCATAAAGAATACCAACTTAAGTTACTTATATGAACTGCTTATTGCTTAGCCTAATTACTATCATTTTAGCAATCATGCATACCATTAAATGCATCAGATTTATTTGTGTGAATTTTATTTGATTACAGTGCTAGATTCTGTTTTTGTCAGCTGAGTCATGATAGTCTGTACTTAGGTTGACTGATCAATCTTACGTTTGACCTACTCTTTCTTTGCAAGTTCATCGGTTACTCTTTCCTTTAAGTAAATCTGACCTTTCTAAGATTAGCTACTTTGCATATCTTGTCACACTAAAGGGTGAGTATTTGGTTATAAAAGACCGAAAACATTGTCAGCAGAACAGGCAGACATTAGAATATTGCAGAGTTTTTCCTAGCTTACTCTGTGAAACATAGGCATTTGCATTTTAAAATGCCTCTTTCTAGCATGCCTCAGTGCTTAGTGGAAGCTGCTAAGTTGCCTAGTTAGGATGAAGAGCGATGGGAAGAGAGGCGGCTGTGGAAGCCTTATGGAATACAGAATAGCAGGAGAGGAAAGGGGCTCCTGTGGGAGGAACAGAATGTTTTATATGTGAAATCAAAACCACTGCGCCTCAAAAGACTTGAAATGGAAACCTCAACGTTTGTTGGTTTCTATTTTATGAGAGGAGGAGGTTAGGAAGAACTCAGTTCTGTTTTTTATTGAGTTAATGAAAATGATCCTCCATCCAAGGTATGTTCCTTAGAAAAACTAGTAGTAAAAATACCTCCAGTAATTTCATGTACTTACTTGTTAATTTGGAGAGTGAGTACCCAGTAGACCAGGAACATCTTAGAAGTCCATGGTTTTTTAGTTTTGCATATCAAGGGGATACATGATAGAAGCTCAAAATAAGTTTGTTGAATTGTGTTTACAGATTTGCTCTCTTAAGAAATGTCAGTAAAGTAGATGACAGTAATAGGAGCTGACATTTATTGAGTGTGTAGGCACTGTACTCGATCCTTCACGTGTGCTATTTCGTCTGATGGATACGGCCACGTTGCGAGGCTGGCATTAGCATCTCCTTTTACAGATGAGGAAACTGAGGCACACAGGAGTTAAATAATTTCCCCAATAGACAGAAACTAGGATTCAGCTCCCTGCCCAGGCTGCTTAATTAACTCTTGTATTGTGCTATCTTGTCCCCCATGTTGACTATGTTGAAATTAAAAATAGTTTTAAAATACTTGAATAGTTGTTAAATTGCAATGATATGCTAAGTTGTAATGACATGCAAACATTTCCCAAAGAATATTAAAGAATTCAGTATATTACTCAAAAGCCAAAAGTTTAGACAATTTGATTTTCTTTGATTTACCAAAGGTAATAGGGTGACTTTATAATTTATCATCCAAACTGAAACTGAAAGGCGGTGATCTTAATAATTATGTGGTGATAACAGGAATAAACCGTACTGTCCCAAGTTATGCCATCACCCTACTGATTGTTTGTCTTACTTCATCTTTGAGGCAAAAAATATTAAAACAATTCTTCATGTTTTTGACCTTCTAGGGGGATTTCTCAATGTCAATGTAAGTGAAGTCAGTTTTGATGAAATTCATCGACTCTTCTCCAAGGATTTAGATATTGAGCCAGGAGGTCACTGGAGGCCTAAAGACTGTAAACCCAGGTGGAAGGTGAGGTAAATTTTTTCTTAAGTAATGGAACTATTCATATGCATTTGAGGAAAATTGTACTTGATTCAGAATATATAGTGACACACCTTTAAGTCTTGATCAGTTTAAGACATCAAAATTTTTAATTTAATGTATAGGTATTCACAGTTCACATGTGATTTAATAGTGTTACTTTTGAAGATGTAAGTCAACCTATGCATATACAAAATGTATGCTCATGTGTTCAGTCTCTGAGAAATCCTGGTAATAAACACCTCTCTTGAGATTGGCTTGGAAAACAGATTTTTTTCCTGTTCTGTTCTGTTTGGAAGAGAGGCTATGATCTCTGCCTCCTGTAGCTGTCCCTAATGATTACTGACCCCTGCAGGCATAGCCCCACCAAGTCCTGGACCCAGTGAGGGCTCATGGGGAGGGTATTATTATCCTGATTTCCAGTTGGGTCTAGCATTGGAGTTTTCAAGCTCTGATCCTCAAGAGTGCCCGAATTCTAAAGAGGCGGCTCAGGGGTCAATAGCACACGAAAAGGAGAACTTGGGACTCTTCACCTCTGCTTCAGAAGGCAGAGCACAAGCTTTTTATCTTTTTCATATGTCAGAATTCTACTTAATGTTTTGTTTGAGAAACTATAAAGGAGTAAGCCTGCTTCCTCTGCTTACAAAAACTTGAAAACCATAGTTTAGACCAGACTTGATCTCAATACTGTGAAATTGGTTAGTAAGTGCATATTTGTGTAATGTTATTATATTTGAGTAGGAAATAGCATTTACATAATGAGTGAAAACTACACATGATTAAATCAAATGTTATGTCCTAAAGGATTGTGACATAACCTTGATCTTGGAATGGTTTTCAATTTCTCTTTAAAAGTATTAGTATTCTGCTAAAATATTTATCTTTTGCTATAAAAAAAAATCGCTGCTGGGAAGTAGAGTTGTACGATGTTAAACTTACAATAAAAGCCCTCTGACTTAATTGGCCTTGAACTCTTTGTGTTTGGGGATGTGTATTATTTATATCTGTTTCCCTAACACAGACCTATTATTTTGTATAAGATAAACACTAAACCAAGTTTTGTTGAGTTTACGAGACTAATAAATGCCTTTTGGGCCTTGCTATAAATTATTAAATAAATGTTTGGATTTTTTGCTTCAGACAAGTTGTAAAGCTGCTTAATTAGATTCCAGTACAAATTTTGGGAAAACATTCTATTTTGCAATTGTCTTATGCTATTTCCCAGATCAGAGTCAGTTAATAAATGAACTTTTTTGTATTTCATGATTGATTTTCCTCACATTTGCATATAAAATATGGCCCAATTTACTTAATTCCACTTTTTTTTGTTGTTGTTGTTGAGGAAGATTAGCCCTGAGCTAACATCTGTTGCCAGTCCTCCTCTTTGCTGAGGAAGGTTGGCTCTGGGCTAATATCTGTGCCCATCTTCCTCTACTTTTTATATGTGGGATGCCTGCCACAGCATGGCTTGATAACTAGTGTGTAGGTCCACGCCCGGGATCCGAACCTTTCGAACGCTGGGCCACTGAAGCAGAACGTGCAAACTTAACCACTATGCCACTGGCCAGCCCCTGTAATTCCACTTTTTAAAAATGTCCTGGGCAAATAAATTATTTTTCTTGCTTGGGTGGTAAGTATGTTTGTTGAATGCTAAAGGAAGAAAAAACATACTCGATCACAAGGACTGTGGGGTAGCATGGAGGTTGGTCCTTAGACGTATATTTGTGTAGAGTACAGCATTTACCTTAGGTTGCTCTGTGTGGTGTTAGTAGTAGAATAATTTGGGATCAGAAAAATTAAGTACTCTTGTCCTTTCTCCACTGGTCTCTATCAGGTGCTGGACTTTAAAATTTAAAGTTGGTTTTAAATTGGTTTTGCTTTCTTCTTCTCACTTTCTAAGAGAGAGGTATGTCACACATAAGTAGTTTCTACTTAGAGATTTTAGTAGACTATAAACTCCACGTGAATCAGTAGGTAACAGTATTGAAAGTGGAGTTCCTAGGAGCAAGCTAATTCAGGTATCTAAAACTTAGCTTAGTTTATTTAGGAACTATATGGTAATGCTGCTTACTACAGCTTTGCGCAAACCTTTCTCAGATTACGGTCTCTAGTTCTGAGCTATGCAGCTAAAGGTATGAGAGGAAATTTGGAGATCACTCAGAGGGGACCTTTGTTTGCCATAGTTAATTAATTAAATACACTCCCTCCCCCGCCTGTTTACAGTCTAATAATATTCCATTGTAATCTTGGAACAGAGTTGAGAGAGGGGTAAAAAGGAAATAACTAGATTTATGTTAAACATGTGCTACCAATTTGATTCTTAATATTTGAGATTCTTTTACTTTTTTTAAAAAAACCATCAAAAGTCCCCTGCCTTTCCATTCAGGGTTCAGGTGGAGGCCTGAACAACTTTGGTCTAAAACCTAAATAAAAACTTAAAGAACCAGGTAGCTGCTTGATGCTGTCATCTACTCAGAGGCCTGGAGTTCTATTTCTAGTCCAAGGTTCCTCAAGGATGGGTCTTAGCCACTTGTTTTGGAACTACCTGGGGTGTTTGGTAAAAGTGAAGACTCTTGAATTCAGCCCTCATACATTCTGATTCTATTGGTGGGAAGGGACAAGAACCTGCATTTTTTATCAAGTGCCTCCTGTTTGAGAAACTCCTATAGGCACTGGACATGAAGAGGGAGAGGAAGATGGCATAGGAGAACAAGAGTTTGGTAGCTTCTACTTTGTTCCATCTTAGTGGTAGATAGCTAGTGCACCCTTAAAGTAGGCAAGTCTGAAGCCATGTCATTTAGGGATGCTGGAGCTGGCAGCGTGCTTCAGGTTTGAAAGTAGGACTCAAACTTGGTGGGGGAAATTGATATAGTAAACACTTTTCTTGCTAATTGCCTCATGGTGAGTATAGGAGAAAATAAGGAAGAAAAATGGGTGCATAAATTCAGTAAGATTAGTGGTTTTAAAGTGGGAACAAACTGAATGGGATAATTGTACTTGAACAGGAGCTAGTGAGGAAAGATTTGTGAAGATGAAGGGTTGTTTTTCAGAAGATAATGACCAAATGTTCTCTCTCCGCTGGAGATGCATTAACAGGAGAGTGGCTCAAGCAGCAAATTAGGGTACATATAAGAAAGACTGTTCTGAAACAAAGGCTGTTAAATCTTGAAATAAATTATCACAGAACACTGAGATCTTTTTTAGAGAATAGATTGTAAACTTTTGAGAGTGTCATTCCACAGCCACAAGAAGGGATATGCCAAATGAAATTTTCAGGTACTGTTTAGCTTTGTTTTAATAAAAACTTTAGGCATATCATTTAAAATCTCTGTCTCATTAAAATGTGGACATTTATTTGCTATTAAAATGACAGTTTTGCTTATTTGAATTTGCCAAGACACTGGTAATTTCTTTCTCTTATAATATTCTGAGTTTCCTTATAAGATTAAAAAACAAACAAACTGTTGGTATTTTGAATGCTTCATTGAATAAATTACCGTATTAGCGGCTGTGAGTTTGCCTTTGTTTATTCTTATATGTTCAGCTCATCACTTGGCCTAATTGTACAGTCATGTGTCACTTAACAACAGGGATATGTTCTGAGAAGTGTGTCATTAGGCGGTTTCATCATTGTTTGAACATCATAGAGTGTTCTTACACAAACCTAGATGGTATAGCCTACTACACACCTAGGCTATATGGTACTAATCTTGTGGGACCACTGTCATATATGCGATCCGTTGTTGACCAAAACGTTGTTATGTGTCACATGACTGTATTTAATTAATATGGACTGTCTTTAATATGGACTCTGCAACTATTTAATAGCTTCTTCCCTTAAATATCTTTAATTCACCTTAACTGCTTTTATAGCCTATTTACATTATGTCATAGGCAGCCAACTTGTGGCCAAATTCAAAACCAAGAAGGGCAAGCTCCACCCTTGTTTCTGTTAGAAGTCATCCCATTGAGAGACTTTAGATAAGGTGCATGGTAAGGGTCTGTACTCCTCATTGAACTCTTTTCTCTCCTTTTACTTTTCATAGCAGTTTCCCATCCTAAGAGTAAACTGAGGGGTCTCTGAACTGCTTTGGGAGTTGTATTGATTTGGAAATTCCCTGAATATGCCAACAGTTGATACTGAGGTCTATCAGCAAGTCCCCGGTCAGTAGGGAGTGTCCAGCACCAATAGTGGCCATCATGTGGGGTATGGAGGGACTTTCAGATGTGGGTTCAGCATTGCTCTGGCAGCCTGTGGTCCTCCGATTCATAAGCCAAGAGGTACCTTATGGGGCAAACCAAGAGGGAATGAGGTCCAAAGTGGCGCTCACAGGGGCACCAGAACCTTTTCAGTTCCTCCCACTTACCAAGTGTAAAATAATGTAAACTTGAAACTATCCAGCCTCATAGTAGCCGTTCTCTCTTTCTTTTTCTGCTATCCCATCAACAGTAAGGGAAAATTAGTGGTGGAGTTTCTAGTTAGACATGTTCTATTTTACTAAATCATCTTTTGTTCTCTTTTTAAATAAAACTATTTTAATAATTTAAAAATTTCTCTCATTTATGATCCTGGTAATGTAAAATACACAGGTAAATATTACTATTTTCTCTTGACTATATCTAATGTCATGTCCTGATTGTACAAGTAGGATTGGTCCTGAACCTATGCAGCCTCACTTATTTGCATTTATTCATTCATTCATTGCTAAAATTTATTTGGTAGAGGTGAAATTTTAATAAATCCCAGATTTAATGTTCTTCCGTATTTGTCTATTATAACCCGTTTAGATTGTATTTAAAAATCCAGAATATAGAGTGATACATAAATATTTTAATTAGATATAGTTTGACTGTTATGTTCTTTGAAAATCTAATGATTTTGAATTTATAATCTGTAGAAAACTTCTTTTAATTTCAATTTTTATTAGAAAAGTCACAATTATAGTAAAGCCAGCTTACCTCAGAAATTGCTGAGAAAAGTAGTGTTTAGGAAACATTTTAGCTTTTTCAAGGGCAAACTCTGAATTGTAAGGTGGCTTAGCTTGTGTGACAAAGTTTGGATCCAGGAAATAGAGGATTTGAGTAGATGATAATTGATATTTATTTATTTATTCCCATATTATATTAACACATTTTATATAGATGGTGTTGTTTCTTTTTTTTTTTTTTTGGTGAGGGAGATCAGCCCTGAGCTAACATCCATGCTAATCCTCCTCTTTTTGCTGAGGAAGACCAGCTCTGAGCTAACATCTATTGCCAATCCTCTTCCTTTTTTTTTTTCCCCCCAAAGCCCCAGTAGATAGTTGTATGTCATAGTTGCACATCCTTCTAGTTGCTGTATGTGGGACATGGCCGCAGCGTGGCCGGAGAAGCAGTGCGTCGGTGCGCGCCCGGGATCCGAACTCTGGCCGCCAGTAGTGGAGCGCGTGCACTTAACCGCTAAGCCATGGGGCCGGCCCTAGATGGTGTTTTTTAGTCTTGATTTTGAGAGTTCTAATAAATGTTTTTTTCCTATTAGAAGAAAGATTGATCTACTGAGAAACCATTTAATTTTCATATATGTGTTTTTTCTTTTATTTTTTGGATTATGTAAGAATAAGTTTCTTTGGTTTATAAAGGACAAATTTCCGTTTTCTGTGTTGCTTACATGATCTTTTTTGTTAAGCTTAACATTTTAACATAATTTTATCAATTTTAGTTTACACTGAATATTATCCTACTGCTGAAATAAACATAAAATGTAGCAAAAATTTAATAGTGCATTTTGATTAAATGAAAAGTATTATATTAGTATAGTTATGAAACTTGATGTATGTTCCATGATACATTTGTTATATTTCTTGAAAATATCTCTAGGCCAGATAAGCCATGTGTAGGATAATAGATATTCAAGTGGAATCTCTTTTAAATTCAATTTAAACACCATAAGTTATTATTTGTGATCTACTTTAAAACCTAAAAGTTACTCTTGCCATGTCCCTCTCCCTCACTCCTCATATCCCATCCATAAACAAATTCTGTTAATTTACCTCTTAAATGTTTCAAAAATCCACGTCTTGTCTCTTCTCCACCCACACCTCAGTTCAAGCTACCATTACCTCTTGTCTTGACTATTGCATTAATTTCCTAACCAGCTCTCTGAGTTCATTTTTGGTTTTCTCCGATCTACTCTCCATAATAGTCTTTGCCATCACCAAATTTGATTTTATCACTCTTTTAAAATCTTTCAGTGACTTCCCATAGTGTTCATGGGATAAAGACCACAATCCTTAGAACGACCCTCAGAGCCCATTTATATCTCCCAGGTTCATAAGACCATAAGTAGCATGAAGGAAAGGGCCATATCGTTAGTGCTTGCGGTTGTATCTCTGGTGAGAAAACTCGTAAGGGTATGACTTTAAAACCATCAGGAATTTTTAAGGATCAGTTTTCATCTTTACCTCTAGGACTTGCTGCATTATATTATTTACATATGTGACTGTTTTGTTTTAAAGGTGGCAGTTCTCATTCCTTTCCGTAATCGCCATGAACATCTTCCAATTTTTTTCTTGCATCTGATTCCAATGCTCCAGAAACAGCGGCTAGAATTTGCCTTTTATGTCATTGAACAGGTGAGAATATTTTTCAGAATAGTAACTAAGTATACTACAACTTCATAAACTCTTAGATATCATTTGATTAAAAGGTTTGTTAAAAAATGTTTTGCTTAAGCTGAATCAGGTAACTCAAATCTTTGGTTTTATGTTTAGGTAAAATAACATTTTGGATCAAGCCTGTTAGTGGCATACAGTAGTCTCTCCTTATCCGCAGTTTCACTTTCTGCATTTTCAGTTACCCACGGTCAACTGCAGTCCAAAAATATTAAATGGAAAATTCCAGAAATAAACGATTCATAAGTTTTAAATTGCATGCTGTTCTGAGTATCGTGATGAAATCTTGCACCATCTCGGTTATCAGATTGACTTACTGGTATTGCAGTGCTTCTGTTAAAGTCACCCTTATTTTACTTAATAATGGCCCGAAAGCACAAGAGTAGTGATGCTGGCAATTCAGATATGCCAAAGACAAACCATAAAGTGCTGCCTTTAAGTGAAAAGGTGAAAGTTCTTGACTTAATAAGGAAAGAAAAAAAATCATATGCTGAGGTTGCTAAAATCTACAGTAACTTTTATTATAGTATATTGTTATAATTGTTCTATGTTATTATTTATTTTTGTTAATCTCTTACTGTGCCTAATTTATAAATTAAACTCTATCATAGGTATGTGTGTATAGGAAAAAATATATATATACAGGGTTCGGTACTATCCTCGGTTTCAGGCATCCACTGGGGTCTTGGATAAGGGGGGGACTACTGTATACCACATTTTGTTAATCTGTGTATCAGTTGACGTGTTCCTATCATGTTTAATCATCTTATGTCTTACCTATTAAAGTGAAATATTTTTCTCCAGTTATTCTTCATAGTATCAGCTAATTTTTTTCTCAGTATTTCATATGCACAATTTCTTTCAGTCTAATTTCAACGCTTTGGAGAGATTTTCCATACTTCTATTTTTTTCCCCACTTCTGTCGTTACCTAGTTTTACATTTAAGATGTTATCTTTAATTTCTTTCTTGGTCTTTTCTCCGCCCCACCTCCCAAACACTAGGAAACTTGCTGAATTGTATCACTGATTTCTACAGAGCATTTCTAAAATGGTGCATTTTGTTCATGTTTCAAATACATTGTTATTTGGATACTTTTGGTTTTGACATTGATGACCTCATTTTATCCTGATTGTTCCTTCTTTTTACTCACGCTAAATTTGACTAAAAATGTATTTCCTTATTTATCAGTAGACAGAAAGTGACCCAGCTTATATTACTAGATGCTTCTTTTTTTTTTTTTTGGTAGAAAAGATTGTTATATTCAGTGTGTTTTCCCAGCTCCTTTGTGGCTTATTCTAGATCTGCTCTTTATTATTTATTTTTTTAAATTTCTCACTCTTAGCTGTTTGCCTCTATTTCCCCCCCTGGAAATACTTGGTATTTGATATAACTTCTTGGTACGTAAATCACCCTTTTAAGGTTTGTTCCCTATGCAGATAATGATGTATATAGTGCATGTGTACTTTTTACTGAAACAACCTATACTGTGCAAATTGACTTTTTTTACCTGATAAATCAAAATTTTTAGCTACTTTCATGATAGCCATAGTTGTAAACTTCTAGGTCATTTTTACCAACTGTTAGTTCCTTTTTTAAAACTTCAATCTCTGTAATGCGTTGGGAGGTGAGATGTCTCCCTCTGTGGTTTTAAAGGCGTATTCTCCTGAAAGTCCAGCACCATTGAATTATTTTGTGTATCTGATGAAGAAATCTTTGCAAAGCAACTAAGATCCATATTTTATAAACCTCTTAAGTCTGAATGTCAGCCTTGATCGATATTAAATCAGGCCCGTGTATTTGATAGTGAGTGATTTTGAGCTAGTAACGTCTTCACCGCATATGAAATAGAAGAGTAATTTTTCTGCTGGACTGGTGCCCAGAAGTGCTGAGCAGTTGAAGAACAGCTCAGAACTCCTGGTTAAATATGGAAGATTGTACCCACATTTACCTCTTCTCCTTTCTAAACGCCTAAAATGAGAATGAAAGAAAAAACTTTAAAAAAGTTATTAAACTACAAGGACAAAGAGACGGAAGTGGTTGAGAGATTTCGACACGTTTCTGGAAGTCAGGAAGCAGATGGAGCGCTGGCACCTCTCGTTGCAGAGCAGAGGATGTTTAAACCCACGTGCTCATCGAGGGTCATTGTGACAAGGATTGAGTCAATTTGCTGGACAAACCCTGCAAATCTCAGCATTTGGAAGATGTCACAGAAGATGGACTGAAGCACTGGGCTCAAGGAGGGGGGGGATTGTTTGAAAGTTTGATTACAAAACAATCAAATCCCCGGTTCCTCATCTTTGCTTGTGTTGCCAAGTGATGGCTGTGTTCTATCTTGTAGAGAATGAAAAGTTTATCCTCTGGAGAAACCACAGTAGAGAAGGGTCCTGACTGTGCTGACACAGCTCTGCTGTGGGGCCTCAGAACAGAGTGGGGAGTAATCCGCGTGCTGACCCGAGGGACCCTCAGGCCTTTGCCCTGTCTGGCTTTTTGGAGCCAACAGTTTGGTACGAATCTCTCCAGCCTCCAGCTGAGGCAGAGCGTGAGTGATGTCTTCAATAGAGAAACAGATTAGCCCCAGGAAAAAGATGCTCAATCTGATATTTGGAAGTCTTTATAGCAAAAGGCCAGCTCATCACTTTATCACCTCCACGAAGCCCACTTGGCATTCATTCAACAAAGGGGATACAGCAGTGAACAAACCAGGTGAGGCGCCTCCCGTTCTTGTGAGGAGAGACAGGTAGTAAATACTTGTGCGGCATGTCAGGTGGTGCTCAGGGCTAAGAGTTGTGGCACAGAGAGCAATAAAGGCAGGGAGATGTACCCTTTTATACAGAGTGTTCAGGGAAGGCCTCTCAGAGGAGGTGAGGTCAGAGCAGCCCTGAATGATGTGAAGGAGCAAGCCGTGCTGATGTTGGGGGGATGTGCATTCCAGACAAGGCAGGAGAGTGATGTTGGGGGGATGTGCTTTCCAGACAAGGCAAGAGAGTATGTGGTGTGTTTGTACAACGCAGTTAGTATTGCTAGAGTGATGAGTGGAGGAGAATGTTAGGGAGGAAATCAGAGAGGGGGTGAGAAGCAGATAGTGAGGGACCTGACAGGCTGAGGTGAGGACTTGCACTATCCTGCTTGAGGTTGGAAGACACTGGCGGGTTTCGAGTAGAGGAATGACGTGTTCTAACTGAAGTTTTAAAAACTGTGCAGAGAACAGACTCAGTGGGACAAGGGCTGAAACAAGAACAGTTAGAAAGCTTTTGCATTTGTCCAGGTAGGAGAAGATGTTGACTTGGGCTGCTGGGGTAGTGGAGAAAGAGGTGAGCAGTGGTTGGCTTTGGGCTACATTGGGTTTAAAAGTGGTATTATTTGCTGATGAATCGGATGTGCATTGTGAGCAATGAAGAACAGTTAAGGCTGATGCCAGGGTTTTTGTCTTGCGCAAAGGTGTTGCCGTTTTCTGAGCTATGGACTTATAGAACACTGGGGAAGAGGAACGGAGCTTTTGTGTTTTGTTTTAGTTTGCTTTAGGGATTTGCTTGTGCACGTGTGTGTGTGGTATATGTGTTTGAGTCAAGAGTGATATGTCACTGTCCTCACGTGCATATGTGAGGATTACCCTCAGCATTTTAGTGCCTTACTCTCAAACATGGATGGGCAGCCAAGGGTTCCCAGATTTTGAAGACAGCCTCCACAAGGGGACACAAAACCAGTCCTAAAAGGGATTGTAGAAAATACAGACATTGGAGGGACTGCAGGAAATCTTAAAAAGAGAAAAGAAAAAAGAAATGAACAACAACAAAAACTCATAATATCCACAGAGTGAAGGAAAGATAATGAATCTGTGAAACAAAAACAGGACACCATAGAGAAAGAATATTCAGAACAAGAAAGTTATTGAAAAGGAAGATGTGGTAACTAAAACACAACTTTCAATAGGACAGCTGCTAGAAGATAAACTTAAGAAAATAACTCCTAAAATAGAACCAAAACATAAGAAATTAAGATCAGTCTAAGAGTACCATTATGTCACGGGCGTAACCAGCCTCCAAGATGGCCCCCAGGGATCCTCGCCTGCTTGTAAGCAGGCCCTTGTGTGGTCTCCTCCTGCAAGGACTAAGGGCTGACTTGCGTGGGCACCCAAACTGCAGAGTCACACAGTATGTGACTTTTGAGACTAGGTCATAAAAGACATTACTGGTTCCGCCTTGGTCTCTTGGATCACTCACTCTTGGGCAAGCCAGCTGCCATGTCACGAGGACACTTAAGCAGCCCTGTGGAGAGGAGCCCACTTGCCAGCATCATCTCGCCAGCCGTGTGAGTGAGCCAGCTTGGAAGTGGATCTTCCAGCTGAGGCCCAGACATCGTGGAGCAGAGATGAAGCATCTCTACTGTTCTGTCAGAATTCCCTATCCACAGATGCGGTGAGCGTAATAAATGGCTATTGGTTTTTTAGCCACTAAGTTGTGCTGTGATTTGTTACATATCAATCAATGACTAATACATTCACTAATCAGGGTTCTGGAAAAATAATAGCAGAAAAGAATTTTGGGGTGTGGGGGAAAGTGACCAAAGAAATAGTATTAAGAAAATTTCCCAGAAGCAAAGATGTGAGTCTTCAGATTAAAGGGGCCCACATGTAGACATGAATAAAATATAGATCTACCATGAAGCATATTATTTTGAAATTTTATAATACAAATTAAAAAGAGAAGATATCAAAAAGGTTCTGTAGGAAAAATTAACCAGTGATTATGTGTCAGAATCATATGAACCTTCTCAGTAGTGCTGATAGCTGGAAGATTATGGAGCCATGCCTTTAAAGTTCTAGGGGAAAGTAATTTTTAACATAGATTTTTTACTGAGCCAAAATGTCAATTAAATGTGAGAGGATACTGATGGCATTTCAGTCATTCATTGACTAAAAACATATATATATATTTTTTTGATGAAATATTTTTATATTATATATATGTGTTTTTTTCATGAACCCTTACTTAGGAAGCTGCTGAAGGGTGTGTCTCAGCCAATTGAGAAGGCCAAGTAAAAGACATGGATGATGTAGGGGCTGAAAGATAAGTCCCAGCATGATAGTTGCACATGGTCAGACCAGTCCAGACTGGAGCAAGAATCAAGGGCAGTGGGAGTGGGAGTTGGGCTTAGGGGGGTGAGGAAAGAATTGATAGATGATTTGATGTGTTCAAATGATTACATCAGTTATTAATAAGTGTAGGACATATCTGTTGGGGCATTTGTACAAAGTAATAATAGTTATATAGAAAACTAAGAAAACGAGAGTTATTAATCCCAGGTTGAGAAAGAAAACAATTCCAATTCACTCAGCACTCAAGAAATATTTATGCAGTCTTAATAATGTAAACACTATTGATTTAACAGAAAATTATGATGTAACTATATTGAGAGAGTGAGTGGAGAGGCAGTGAGTGTGGTGGTATAAGTCCTCAGTGACCATGATAAAAAGTCAGTGACAGTGTCTAAAGTTCATGAAGCAAAGAAATAGCAGAACTCTTGTTACCTTGAAATGTGGAGATTAGTACCAGAATAAACTGCCAGAAGAGCTGCAATGTGTTGCTTTTGGGGGATGAAGATGGGTTAGACATAGAACTTCTTATTTTTATTATAAGCCGTTAAGTATTATGTCCACATTTAATAAAAACAATCTTTCAAAACCTTAGAGGAAAGTAGTTTGTTAAAGCTGATGTTGATGTATCATGAGTAACATTATAATTTAACCCCCTTCTCTTTTTATTCTCTCCATTTCACTGGAGAAGAAAGAAGCCGTAAAAAGGAAAATGATCTCTGTTACCTCAAGTTAATGCAGGACCCAGAACTAAAAATTAGTAATATTTTGCTCTTGAGGCAGCACTCTGGTGATGACTACATTGTGTATCTCATTTGCTTCTGTCATGATCCTTTTTTATTTTATATTTTGGAAATGATTTTGAGAAATGTTGCGAAGGCGTAGGTAAATGCTCTTTAGTTTTCTTTGGATACAGAATGAAACCTTTTTATTGCCAATGTACCTTAAGATAATTTCGCTCGTCAATGAAAGGAAGTGGTTATAATATAGGAAGTTGGGTGCTGTGTAATAAGTTCACGTTTTTCTGTTCCTTAAAATGCTCTTGGTGTTTTTCATAAGCAAGAATAATAAAAATAGGAACTGTTGTTGCCCAGTCACTTTCATGTATTTTCCCTAGTAATAAAGTAAAATGGTTGTAATAAAGGAAGTTGGATTTTGTGTAATAAGTTCCAATTGTTTTTGTCTCTAAAAATGTCCTTGTCTTTATTATAAGCATTAGTAATACGAAGTTAGCCCTCCAGGCTGCTTATATATGGGGAGAGTTACTGCTTGTTGAGTCACTTTCAGTTTCCTGCTGCTTTTAGTCTTGATAGCATATGGAAATCTTCACTAAAAAATACAACCTATATTATTTTTAATGGCTTTATTTTTTTTCTGGACATAAATCTATATCCTGATGTATTTGCAGTACAACAGAAGCATGAATTACATCATCCTATAAATGTGATGATCTGCCAATGGACTAGATAAAAACAATGTTTTCTTGTATGTTACCAAAGTATAGAATAATGTAGTAAGTCAATTTAAACAGTATATTTGAAAATCCTGAAGTATGTTTATTATTTTATTTATTTGATTTGGATATATTTATTATTCTTATTTGACCATGGTTTAACAAGTTAGAAAAATAGAAAAAGTCAAATGACCAAGTCTGAGTACATGTCCATTTCTCTCTGTGAAGACTGGTACACAACCTTTTAACCGTGCAATGCTCTTCAATGTGGGCTTCAAAGAGGCCATGAAAGATAGTGTCTGGGACTGTATCATCTTCCATGATGTGGATCATCTACCCGAAAATGACAGAAACTATTACGGATGTGGAGAAATGCCACGTCATTTTGCAGCAAAGCTGGATAAATACATGTATATGTAAGTAATGTGCAATTTTCCTGATATCGTACAGTACACTAGCAAAATCATGGCATTGAAATGGTACAGCATTATGTGCCTGGTTCTGAGAGGGCTCAAGAGCCTAAAGAGTTTCTTTAACTCCAGCCCATCCTCTGCGGGACCCAGGAAGTAGACTCCCTTGTGGTCCATCTAGGTACTTCCTCACACAGAGGTTTGAGTGTGGGGTGGTCGAAGAGAGAGCCTGGTTTCTACAGTCATGCAAATGTGGATTTAACTTCTGGTTTTCACACTTAACAGCTGTAGGACTTGGTTATCTTAGGACTTGTATCTGAACATCGGTTTCCTTGTTCATGGGAGTAGTAGAGCCCATGCACAGGGCTGCTGTGAGATATACTGGGCCTGCCCCGTGTAGGTACATAGCACATGTTGGCTCCCTTCTGCTTCCCCTCCCAACAGTGATGGTTCAGTGCAGTGTAGGCCCTCTCTTCTGCTGTATCTTCTTCCTAAGCTACGGATTTCTTGACTTGCCTTTAATAAGAAACAAACTTTTTCGTTCTCTGTTTGGAGATACCTTGAAATGTAAACAGTCATTGGAGCTGTGACAGTAACTTAAATTGACATTAAAGCACGCAGGTCTAATTTGGGAAAGAGATCACAGTTTTCATTGGCTAATGGAAGTGGAGAGAAGAGAAAATAGCCTGGAGCAGGGGGGATGTTGCCTACATCACAGTTTTGCCTGCTGCCTGACCTACAGAGAGAGGTAAACAGTATCAGTGACACGACCAGGTGAATCAGCACTAAAACAAGAAACAATGCCTTTAAAAATTTTTTTTTCTTTTGCTAGTTGTTGTCATCATTAGAAAACCTTTTCTTTACTACCACAGTATCTGAACTGCAAGTCTGGCGTTACTTTCAGAAGGTCACCCAGGTTCAGGATCTGATTCTTAGCACTTGTAGAAACTCAGTTTTGGTCAGCCTCCTAGAGTCAAATTAAATTTAGGGTAATTGATTTTCACTAAAAAATATCATAAAGATCTTATAAATTAAGAATTCTAGGGCCGGCCCTGTGGCTTAGTGGTTAAGTGCGCGCGCTCCGCCACTGGCGGCCCGGGTTCGGATCCCGGGCGCTCACTGACGCACCGCTTCTCTGGCCATGGTGAGGCTGTGTCCCACATACAGCAACTAGAAGGATGTGCAACTGTGACGTACAACTATCTGCTGGGGCTTTGGGGAAAAAAAGGAGGAGGATTGGCAGTGGTTGTTAGCTCAGAGCTGGTCTTCCTCAACAAAAAGAGGAGGATTAGCATGGATGT